ATAAATGCGAATCTTTAGTGTTTCTGTAATATCCTTATTCGTTGAACACAGGTTATGCCAAATTTTCCAATTCCGAGATGCATTTTTCCAGCAGTACGATCATTTTCTTCTGCGTATTTTTTTTTTTTTTTGGATAGAATAAGTTGAGTTTGGAGGATTTTTAACATAAAATTTATTAATTTTCTAATTATTGCTATTTCTCAGGAATGCACGTTTAATCTTATGCTAGAATTTACACATTTTATTCTTATCATACAACTTACCGACCAATTTTCGCATTTTCGATGTTTTGCATATTCAAAAAATGCAAAATCCTTGGATCATAACTGGACTGGTAGTCCTAAGAAAATACGACGCGCTGCTCATCAGCAATTATGTCATTCTTTCATTCTCAAACAGCGATTTTCAGAAGTTCATCCGCACATTATGATTTTTGGACAGAGATTTCATTCGATCCGGATTTCCGGACTTGCTATCTTTAAGTCCAAAGTGTCATGGACGGTTGCTAAATTCGAATTTTATAGCTGACAAAATTTTCTCTTTTGTAGGCAGCAAAAACTGGGTGAAAGTGAGGATTTCCAAATTTTCATTGGTAAAGTGGAGGAAGAGGAAGCCTGGATGAACGAGAAGCAGCAAATTCTTTCGTCCGACAACTACGGGGAAAATATGGCCGGTGTACAAGGCTTGCTGAAAAAGCACGATGCTTTTGAAGCCGATTTGGCACTACACACACAGCGCGTCAAACAGCTGATTGCGGACGGCCAAAAGGCTCGTTTTATCATTTTGTTTTGATATTTGGACTATTTTGACTTGGCTGTAATTCCTGGTCTGCTTTTCCAGCTATTCAACTGGCTAATTTTTCAATTAAACAACCAGTACCGACCAAATTGATTAGTGATCACTATACTAGTAGTTATGATGTTTACTTCGCCTTCTTAGAGGATTATTAATCTCTGAAGGTTTTCTCTGCAGAAGCGCTTAGCAAGGCTTTAGCTGTTTCGAAACGCGTTCTGAGCGTTACGGTTTCAACTCGAACAACTGCCACTGTTTTAGACCACGATGAGGTGCTTTGCCAATTAGGAACTGATACTGTATACGACCGTAGTATCTAATATTTTGTAACACCGACTGATAGACGAAGTTGATAAGTCTGAGAGTCTTATATAAGAAGGTCGTTGCCTAATTTTTAAAATTTGGACAAATTACACGACATCTGTACCATCAGTTAAGCCATGAATGTTTTCTTTTTATGCGTTTTGTGCTGTGTAACAGCAGTACAAAACGCATATTGTTACGGGGTTGTCT